TATTTGCATGTTTTACTTGTTTTTATTCTGATGCGCACATTTTTATTGGTTGTGTTTTTTGCTTATTATGTGCATGTTTTTATTGATGTGTTTTTAGTTGTGGTGCAACATTGTGTGTGTTCATTCTGTGTTAATCATAAAGCTTGGTTTATGTTTGACGCATTCACTTTCCGCGCGGTGATGCGGCTCGCGGATGGAACGCGCTTCACAACTCGCAGCTTTGATGGTTCGTGCGGCTCGTCTCTGCAGTGAGCCAATATTCTCCCAAACTGAACGGGGCAGCATGGAAATCTACGGCATACATCCAACACTACACCATAGTAGAAGTAGAAATGACTGTTTCTAACATGGCATTTCAGCATTTTTAACAGCGTTCTCGTCTTTTCCGACAGTGCGAGCTATTTCTCTCCAAGCATTATTAACAACATGTTGATCACGGTGATCTCTGAGAGCAGAATCATACAAATGTCTGTATTTACGAACCTCTGCCATACTAGTTCTTGCTGGTCCGCCATGTTTTTCCGCGTCCGTCCGTCCGTCCACGTAGTTAGAAATTTTCCGAGGTGCGCGTTGCGGAAATTCTGGGCCGTGTGGAGGCGCGGTGGAGGGGCGTGGTTGTTAAAATGACGCAAAATGATGCAACTTTTCCGCACGGAGCCATGCGAACCTCGCGGACGCGTCAAGTATAAATCAACCTTTAATCACCCTGATCACCTTCACCTGCGGCAGTGTTGCCTGGACTGCCAATTAATGGAAAGACGCAGGCAGCACAGGTGATTTAAAGGGAGGAACGCGTGGACACAGCATGGGACAGAGAGAGAGAGCCAGGATGGCAGACGGGACGAGCTAAGGGGCAGAGACGCACCCCGGGACGGCGTCCTGAGGACTGCATGTGCCTGGACCCCCCCTGCTGGAACAGAGGAGCACCCGGAGTACGGTCCGGGATGAGGGACGGCGGCCGAGTGTGGAGGAGCGTGGGTGTCCCTCCCTCCACACGAGCGGCGCGCGTAAGGGTGCCGCTGGGTCCGGTTGGTGTCTTGGACCGAGGAGGGGGTTCACCAGCGGCGCGGACAGCGAGCAGCAGCGGAGAGCGACATCCGCGGTGGAGAAGCCAGGGCACGGAGCGCAACACGGCAGGCGGGCAGAGTTACTCTGCCCCTGCGCGTAAGTATTGGAGCAGTGCCTGGCTACATCTGGAGCTGCTGTCTCTCTGTGTGTGGTCTGGTGCTTGGGGACTTTTGATTGCCGGAGTTTTTGTGTGCCACAGGGGCCGAGGAGGAGGATTGGATCCACTGGCCGTTCAGCCTGTGGTTCCCCGAGGATGACGCGTACCGCAGGAGGGCGGGGTCGTGGAGGTTGCCCCTGGCGAGCTCATGCAGGGGCGTATTGGACTGCACAGAAGTCCAATAACGAAACACCACTCGAGTTCAGATCAGGCGGGCCGTTCCTCCCAATCACACCCCTCCAGGTCAAGCTGTCATTGCCCACGTGAGCATTGAAGTCCCCCAGCAGGACAATGAAATCCCCTGATGGAGCACTATCTAGCACTCGAGCCAAGGACTCCAAAAAGGGTGGGTACTCTGAACTGATATTTGGCCCATAAGCACAAACAACAGTCAGGACCCGTTCCCCGACCTGAAGGCGCAGGGAAGCTACCCTCTCGTCCCCCGGGGTAAACCCCAACACACAGGCAGAGAGTCTTGGGGCTAACAAAAAGATAACCTCAGCTTTCCACCTCTCACTCGGAGCAACTACAGCAAAGGAAAGTGTCCAACCCCTCTCAAGGACTTGGGTTCCAGAGCCAATGCTATGTGTCAAGGTGAGTCCGACTATATCTAGCCGGTACCGCTTAACCTCTGCCATAAGCTCCTGCTCCTTCCCCGCCAGAGAGGTGACGTTCCATGTCCCAAAAGCTAGTTTTCTTGTTCTGCCACCTGATCCACATTGCACCGGACCCTTCATGTTCCTTCTGCGGGTGGTGGGTCCACAGTTGGATGAGCCCATGTAACCAGATCAGGCTGGGCCCGGCCGGGCCCCATGGGCGAAAGCCCGGCCACCAGGCGCTCGCTCACGGGCCCCAACCCCAGGCCTGGCTCCAGGGTGGGACCCCGGTAACCCTCCAGGCCGGGTACTCGGACTCTTTGTCTTTACCTCCAAGAAAGATCCTGTGAACCGTTCTTTGTCTCACCCTTCACCTAAGACCAATTTGTCATGGGAGACCCTACCAGGGGCACTAAGTGCCCCAGACAATATAGCTCCTAAGATCATTAGGGCACTTAAACTCCTCCACCACGATAAGGTGACGGTTCAAGGTGGAGGTTTACTCAAGGTCTGACTGTAACAGCTTTCCAGCGTTTTTTGAGAACAAAATCAGAAAATCATCCCCATCTACATCCTACCCCCATCCAACCACCTTCCTCCCAATCATTGTCCTTCTTTACTCCTGTAGATTTCCAGGGCGTTTGCCTCATTCGGAAACACATGAAACCAACATCATACCCTGCTGATTTCATTCCTGCTACCTTATTCATCAGGACGTTTAACCAAATTGACCCATGCATCATAGATTTTATTAATTAATCCCTACAATCTGGCTCTGTACCATCTGTTTACAAACATGCAGTTGTTGAATCTGTCCATAAAAAACAAGTTTGAACTCATCTCAGCCTAAAAGCTACAGACCCATTTCTAAATGACCCCTTTTCTCTAAAATACTGGAAAAGGTTGTAGCAGATCAGCTGATAACGTTTCTTGAACTACACAACAGTTTTGATAACTTCCAGTCTGGTTTTGGTAAAAAGCGTTCAGCAGAAACAGCTTTGCTCAAAGTTTCCAGTGACATCATGATGGCTGCAGACAACGGGGAGTTCACAGTGCTAAGCCGGGCGTACACTGTGTGACTTTTTCACTTTTTTGAGCTGATTTTCCACTCGTGCGAGAATCCACAAGATCGGGAAGAGTTTTGCGCTGAGCGCCGTGTAGTGTACAGGGAGATCTGCCCTGCAAGGAAGTCGTACAGTTAGAGCTGAAGCTGAGTGCTACGAGTGAAAAAGTTGCACAGTCTCCGCCTAGCTTTAGTATTGTTATATCTTTCTGCAGCTTCTGACACTGTTGATCACAGCACCTTAATTAACAGACTTGGTGACTCAGTGGGGATCCCTGGAACTGTTCTAGACTGGTTAAGATCGTACCTTTCTAACAGAAGTTACAGTGTCTGTAGAAAACAGATCAGGTCAGACTCTACCCATCTGTTCTGTGGGGTACCTCCATATCCATTTCACACACACCCTGCTCAGAGATTTTCAGGGGGAAGGGATTCAGGAAACAACTTCTGGCTAGTTTCGGGGGTACTGTATCTCCGCCGTTTAGCGTCACAAAAGGATTTGCCTCTGAAAGCATGACTAATGTACATCTCAGAAACACAGCCAGGTAAATTGACAACTTCACATTAAAACGGGACTTTTTATCATTCCTATCATGCGCCACTCGGCGCAGGGACAAAACGGTGTCATCTGGCTGCTATAATCCTGGCTGTATGAGTGAAACAACAACTTCCTAAGTCAGTTAAAAAGAGTTGTTCTTAAATATATAGAGCCATGGTGCATACTTGCAGTTTCCCGGTTGTAACAATAAGGATGTTACAGGATCACCTTTTAGGTTCCGCACTATCCCTGTGAAGGCCGTTTCTCTAGCATCACTTTTGGCAATCGGCTACGCCATGGATACTCGGCTGGAATGACTCAAAACATTCTGTTTGTGCAGTGCACACTTCAAAGAGGACGATTACATCAAGAAAACATTTGGGAACAATGAGAGACTCTTGTTGAAGAGTTCGGCCGTAACAGAAATCTGGGTACGTTTTTTTTTTTAAATTAATTTATTCCGGCTATGTCCGCCGTATTCATGCAATCATCTTCACACCAATGATGGTTGATCGTAGACTGCAGTAGCTTTGTCAACAATCTGTGTTGATGTGTGAGTTTTGTGTAGCAAATGCACGTAACGTAGCACAGGGAATCATCATGTACTGTTATACCTGTTGAAGCGTTGCTAAACTGAAAAATGAATCGTATTACAGTTGTGCAAAGTTGCAGTGACAGTGGCTTTCAACTTCGACTGGGCGGGGGCTGGAACATCACATGGTAACTCTCCCGGTTCATGACAGAGAACTGTTTCTCTACGACAAAACCTTCAGAGAAACACGGACATTTGGGTTTCTCAGAACCTTTTTGTAGGATTTGAATCACTTTGATCCAAAAAAATCAGGATTAAACTGATCCCATCAGAAGGGTGGATTCAGCATGAATTTCATGCCCTAAATGTAAAGAAAACTTTAAAATTGTATCAATAATACTATATATGGATCATGCAGTATTTTACAAGATATCCTATATATTCATAAGGTTTTAGTTTTATTTGTTCTTCCATCAGGCTACAGTGATTAAGTAGGCTTTAACGTATTCAGCCTTTCAGTACAGGCCTACTGATCCAGAGAGCGTATTTATATTGAATCTCAGCTCTGTTCATGAGGAAGCAGCTGGTTTCTCATTGGTTGAGCCAGTGGTAGTTGCCACAGGATCTCAGAGGAGAGGCTTGAAGCGCCCTTCATCAAACAAAGACGATGGTTACAAGGCACTTCAGCAAAAAGAGACTGACAGGGTAGAAGCACAGCTTCGTCTGGCAGAGGAACAACGGATTCTGACAAAACTGCAGCAAACCAAGGCCAGACTTGAGATCCGCCTCCTAAAGGCTACGCTCAGACAAGCTGGTGTCTCCACATCAGATGAAGAAGTCTGAAATTATTGTGGAGTTGCAAAATTGTTACACCAGCTTCCAGCACTCACCTGGAAGGTATCTCAGAACAGCGGTTTGGTTTTTGGGGGTGAAATTATGTGCTCCAAATACCACAGAAGTCAACTCTACTGGCTGTTTGTATCAACTTCTCCGACCGCTGGATCACCGGCAGCCTTCACCACAAGGACTCGTAGATTCTGCACAACTGGCGTGGGATGGTGTTTTTATTGAGATTGTTAAACCATACATTCAGACGTATTTTACAACCCAGATATCACAATTTTCTAAGACACTTGGTTTTGCTACATAACATCTAAGTACACATTCCATCATTTCATTCATTGTCCCAGTTATCTTGTTTCAACCATAATTTACCATCATTTGTTCCGTGTCATCATTAGTAAATGGTAAATGGCCTGTATTTGATATAGCGCCTTCTAGAGTCCTGGAAACCCCCCAAGGCGCTTTACAACACAATCAGTCATTCACCCATTCACACACACATTCACACGCTGGCAGGGATGAGCTACGATGTAGCCACAGCTGTCCTGGGGCGCACTGACAGAGGCAAGGCTGCCGAGCACAGGCGCCACCGGTCCCTCCGACCACCACCAGCAGGCAAGGTGAGTTAAGTGTCTTGCCCAAGGACCCTACGACAGCGACAGACTGAGCGGGGGCTCGAACCTGCAACCTTTCAATTACGGGGTGAGCAATTTACTCCTGTACCACCGTCACCCACACAGTAGTAGAAATGTAGTATTAAGTTGGTTTTTAGAAACTATTTTTCGCTCAGTCTCAAAATATTATGAAGGTGTGATTTCCCTGAATTACCAAAATGACCTGGTTTCATTTTAGATAAAATTTCAAAAGATCAATAATATTGATATTTCATATTTATATGGAAATATCACATCTTATTGATCATTTATTAAAAGTAACCACTTACGTCATGTTACACAACCAAAAGGCTTCTGTCCAGGGTGGACACCTGTGTGATTGTTTAAACTTATCTTTTTACTAAATCCCTGTCCACAGAGCTCACATATAAAAGGCTTCTGTCCTGTGTGGACTCTCGTGTGTCTGTTTAAATCTGTCTTTCGGTTAAATCCTTTTCCACACAGCTCACAGGCAAAAGGCTTCTGTCCTGTGTGGACACTCATATGACTGTTTAAACTTGCCTTATAACGAAATCTTTGACCACAGAGCTCACAGGCAAAAGGTTTCTGTCCTGTGTGGATTCTCATGTGAGAATTGAAACTTGCCTTATAACGAAATCTTTTTCCACAGAGCTCACAGACAAAAGGTTTCAGTCCTGTGTGGATTGTCATGTGAATATTTAGATTATTCTTATGACTAAATCTTTGTCCACACAGCTCACAGACAAAAGGCTTATGTCCAGTGTGGACACTCATATGACCTTTTAAAATTGTCTCATGTCTAAATATTTTTCCACAGAGATCACAGACAAAAGGCTTCTGTCCAGTGTGGACACTCATATGACCTTTTAAAATTGTCTCATGTCTAAATCTTTGTCCACAAAGCTCACAGGCAAAAGGCTTCTGTCCTGTGTGGGTTCTAATGTGATCTTTTATATGTGTCTTATAACTAAATTTTTGTCCACACAGCCCACAGGCAAAAGGCTTATGTCCAGTGTGGACACTCATATGACCTTTTAAACTTGTCTCATGTCTAAATCTTTTTCCACAGAGCTCACAGGCAAAAGGCATCTGTCCTGTGTGGATTCTTATGTGTCTGTTTAAATTTGTCCGTAGGTTAAATCTTTTTCCACACAGCTCACAGGGAAAAGGCTTCTGTCCTGTGTGGATTCTTATGTGTCTGTTTAAAGTTGTCCGTAGGTTAAATCGTTGTCCACACAGCTCACAGGGAAAAGGCTTTTGTCCTGTGTGAATTCTTATGTGTCTGTTTAAAGTTGTTCGTCGGTTAAATCTTTGTCCACACAGCTCACAGGCAAAAGGCTTCTGTCCTGTGTGGATTCTCATGTGACTGTTTAAAGTTGTCTTTCGGGTAAATCTTTGTCCACACAGCTCACAGGCAAAAGGCTTTACTCCTGTGTGGATTCTCATGTGACTGTTTAAAGTCGTCTTTCGGTTAAATCTTTGTCCACACAGCTCACAGGCAAAAGGCTTCTGTCCTGTGTGGATTCTCATGTGACTGTTTAAACTTGATTTAGCCATAAATTCTTTTCCACAGTGATCACAACTAAACGTTTTAGTCTTTTTCTGGACTTCCCTACAAGAGTCTGCATGTTGCTTCACTATAACACATTCCTTACTAACACAACAGCCTGAAGACCTTGTTGCTAAATGACTTGTCATTTCTGCTGTCACATGGTCAGCTGAGCTGCTCGCTGGAACATCTCGGTCTTCTGTTTGCTGCTGATGAAGCTGTGAGACGAGAGGTTTTTCTTCATCATCCTCACTCTTTATAGAACCAGCAGTGAATAGAAATCTGGCAGCATCAGTCTCCTTCAAATGTAGCTGCTCTCTCTCCAGACTGGTCCAGAGGTCATCCTGTTCCTCCTTTATGTGAAGGTGTTCTGGTTCCTGCTGGTCCTCACCAGCACTCTGTTCTTCATGAGCTTCTTCTTTAACCAGCGCCATTATTTTAACACCTGTAGGAAAAACAGAAACACAGTGAATTACTGAATGCTGTAACGTTCTATTCACACATCTAACAGTAATATTATTGCTTTAAAGAGCAAGCAACACCCAAATCAACTATTCTTTTGGCTGATAAACTGTATAAATGAGTATCTAATAGTGTTGTAGACATTCAAGTTTATTTATAAAGCGCCAAATCAGGACCAGAGTCGTCTCAAGGACCTTCACACAGTAAACATTCCAGTACAGGTCAGGTCATTAAGCCGATCAGTAACAAGTTTCTTATATAAGGAACCCAGCAGGTCGCATTGAGTCACTGACTAGTGTCAGAGTCTTTACAGCGGTCCTCATACTAAGCAAGCATGCAGCGACAGTGGAGAGGAAAACTCCCTTTTAACAGGAAGAAACCTTCAGAGAATCCTGGCTCAGTAAAAGCAGCCATCCTCCACACTGAAATAAATGATTTTTTGGCCCTGTAATTATTATTTCAACTATCTAAATTCTACTAAATAATATTAATTCACTGTTTTTACTTTAAAATAGCTATTTTTCATGTAGTGCATTACTTGGTGATTGTTTGTAATTATGTTTCCTCATTTTTGTATGTAAATAGAATCCTTCAATCCAAGTAATATTCACTTAATCAGTTTGTTGGCTTACTCAGTTGATCTTTCTAAGTAAAATGTAATAGAGAGACATCATTGAACCCTACAACCTTCTGTATTCGGAGCATGACGTCAAAGCCCCTCCCCCACACTTCAGAGGCCTTCATCGTCGTAAGACAGTAACTGTTTGTCCACATGCCACGTTTCATACGTGTTGGGGAATTCGTTGAGTGAGACGTGAAAGAACTAGCACATTGGAACCAAGACGGTAAGTTTTAAGTGAAACAAACTATACGTCCTTGTTGGCTCACTGACTCCTCATTGAAAGCAGCAGCAGCTGCGGTAGCAAATGGTACTTTTTCCTGCTAGCTAGCTAGCTAAGTTAACAGCTAACTAACTTGGCTGACACGTGTCCTTTTTGCCTGGAAAGGCCCCATTATTATACAAACACATGAATAAGCTACTATCACTTTTTCTTATTCATTCACACTCAAGGAAATGACATCATCCTTTTGATAATGCTTGTTTATATTTTCATGTTTTTACAGAAAGAGCCATGAAAGATCACAGGATTGAGCGTGCAGTGGGGGTCTGCAAAAAAGTGGTCAGCACCTTTTCATTCAGTTGGGCAAAAGAGAGAGAGAGAGCTGAAAAAGGCACAGATAGACCTCAAACTGCCAGACCACTCCTTAAAGACCGAGTGTCCAACCAGATGGGGATCCAGGCAGGCCATGCTTTCCAGAGTCCTTGAGCAGCAGAAGGCCACTGCCCATGTCCTCTCCCAAGACAAAGGAACTCGGCGCCTCATCCCCTCATGGCAGGACATCGATGTCCTTGAGGCAGGGGTGGACATTAACTTCAAAACCAACCGGCCAGCGGGGCCGGTAACTCTGAATATTTACCGGCCCCGCCAAGAATCTACCGGCCCCGCTGGTCAGCTGCCAAAACGAGTCAAAATAACAACTGAACCGTTTTAAATGTAATAAACCTTTATTTTGTACACATTCACAAACATAATAACGTATTCAAGTTTGAATTTGTTTGTTCCCTCAACAAAACACGAATTTGTCGTCGCATACTTCCGGCATACAACGCAGTACATCACCGACTCCGCTTTGCTGTACTCGAGCCATTGGCTGTGTTCGAGATGAGCCAGTTCTGCGCAGATTAGACCAGCGGTGATCGGCGAGCAGTGCATGCCGGTTAGATTTGTGTCCGACTTGACGCCGACTTGCTCTGACATCATGCATACGTAGGCAACGATAACCTCGTGAGATCAAGGCGGCCGCAGATTTTGGAGCAAGGTGCTGCAGTTGCTCTCCCTCAGCTGCAAAACCTAGAGGATGACGGGAAACACCTGGCTCTCACCTGATCTAAGATCTGATTGGTTCATATTTTGATCCAAACATCCGGTGGTAGACCATGAAATGTTAGTTGGTCACATGTATTCTGTAAATCATGTTACGTTGATGATGACAACTATATAGGCCATAAAGAGAAATGTGTTTTGTTTTCTTTTGTCACGTTTCCTATGAGCACACTGAAGCTACAGCTGATAACCTTTACTTATTATTACAGTCATGTCTCCATATACAATATATGATATCCACAAGCACGTGAGGATGGGTTTCAGCTGCTAACAGGCACCAGAATAAAAATTTAAAATTGAACAAGTGTGAACGCTAACGCGATATCTTCATCCATCGTCACCCCCGAGCTACACATGTAGGGAAGTCCAAGAGATTCAACTGGCAGAACTAACTCACTCTCTCTCTGTGTCTCTCTCTCTCTCTCTCTCTCTCTCTCTCTGACACACACACACACACACACACACACACACACACACACACACACACACACACACACACACACACACACACACACACACACACACACAGACAGACAGACAGAGGAAAAGAGCTGAGAAAAGGCAGAGGAAACGAGGACACCAAGTAGTTAAAAGAAAAACTACAGGTGAGCCGAGGCGCGCCTCGACTGGGGCGCGTCTGATCTGAACTGAGGAGCGGCGAGCAGCGGTCGAATTTCGTGAGCGATTCGCTTCTCGGAGCTTCCGCGGCCGGTGTGTACCCGGCGTAAAAACGCCAGCTTTCAGCCCCTCCCCCTACTGCTTCCGTCTGCTCTCGTCTGTTTTCCAGGCGAGGCTCTGCTCAACTCGAACACGGCCATTCTCTGCGCCTCCAGTCTTCTTTAAACCGCCAAGAATCATTCCACCTACGCACACGCTTCTCTGCTTCATACCGTTTCGAACTGTCTCGCTTCTCCTCACCAGTTTTAAAGCGTTTTGCCGGAGATTTCATCAAGAAATCCCATCCCTGTGGCCAGGGGCGGAAATCCCATTTCAGTTTTGGGGGGGACAATAAACAGTAAAATTTCAGAGAGTAATTTTTGGGGGGGGGGGACATGAAAAACAATGCTCTCTCCTGCGTCTTTGCAACTTGTTTTGCACAGTTTGCCTTCAGCATGTTAAATAATGTTATGAATTGATGCCTTTATGACCACATTCAACAAAACATCTTAATTTCCACTACAGTCAAAGTAGATTAACAACATTGTAAGCACAAAGAAGTTCCAATATTATTACGGAAACACTTTCAAGGCTAACATCAAACTACTTCAAAATGTGAAAATTTTTATTATATTGTTGTGTCAGCAAGTAAAAATGCAACATAGATTAGGCCTACTTACAAGTATATTAACAGTTATTTAAAAATGAACAGCCCTTGTTAACAACAAAGATTTAATAAAACAACCCCTTTAACCAGGGTTATCCTAACATTTTGATTTATAGAGCCAAAATGTAAATCTATCAGTTGTGAGCCAAATCATCAGCTTTCACAAAACACAAACACTCATAGTATGGTAGTTTTTTTTGTTTGTTGGATACTAAATATGCTCAGATTTAGCTAGCATCATCATGCTATCATTTTAGTTCATTGCTGATTTGCTTACCTTCTCATACTGCTTACTTCCTAGCTATTAATAACATGCTAGCCACCATTACCATGCTAGTAAGCATTTGCATGCTAACTAGTGGTGGCATTTTAACTTATTCTTGAACTTTGACTAACTTAACATACTGATTGCTTGGATGCTAATGATAATATGCTAGTTAGATTTAGTTGACATCAGATATGACCACAGCACTTCCTCTTTTAGTTACTTAAGTTCGAAGCTGACTCCAATCCTGCTGGAGCAACAGAACCTCTTATAGGGGGTCTGGCTGATCGCTGACCATGTGGCAGGCGAGTGTAAAATGTTCTGAAGCTTTCTATTTTTTTAAACAGTTATCTAACCTTTCTTTCTGTGTAAATATGAACACAATGAGAAATAAGTCACTGGAACACAAATTGAAACTTCAGGATTTGACAGGTTTAGTCGGTGAAGAGAATATTCTTCCACCCAGCAGTGGAGTCTTTGATCACGAAAATTCCTGGTGCACATTTAGCTGTTTGTCTTAATAATGGAGATTTATATGCAAGACTCTGCCTATTTGTAAAAAACTAAAGTGTCTGTCGAACAGAAACATTTCCATGTCACAAAAGTACCACGTCTCTAAACAAAGGAACCAAATGTACTCCTTCTGGTGTCACTACATCCAACAAATTCCTGGCAGATCACGTCTATGTTCAGCATGTCCAGTCTCTCTTTGTGGACATTACAGACAACTAGATTGTTAAGTCTGTTTTGGTTCATAGTTGCCCGTAACCAAGTTTTTAGCCGGCGCAATGTACTGAAACTCCTTTCCGCTTCACACGACGACACAGGCACCACCATCAAAATCCTGATAAGAACCTCTACCTGATCAAACAAGCCCCGTACCTCCACTGGGAGTCCTCTGAGAATCCCTGCAGCCTCCCCAACACTGGTACATGGGTATTGGTTCTGGAAGAGAGGCAACTGCACAGCAAGGGAAGCTCTGTTTAGTTCAGGATACTGATCTAAACGGTCATCTAATCCTCCAGTGAGGAGGGCACTTTCAACCTTTACCAGAATATTTAGACTTTCCTGGTCAAAGCGTTCTGCAATCTGAACATCAATGCTGTCCAACACTTTGAAAAACTCTGCCCTGTAGTAATCCACTGCTTTCCCTGTGACACGGTTTGCCGCCTGGATGGGCTCAATGGATTCTACAGAGTCAACCACTGCTGTAGCTTTCTTGTACAGTGCAAGGTAGCTCTCATCATCTCTCTTTCCCCTAAGAGAAGTCCTCACGTGATTGACAGCATCCAGCATACCAGAGACTGTTTGAATTTTCTTCTGCAGTGAAACATTCAGGCATTCTAGCTCTCCAACAACAGCAGAGGCAAGTGTGAGTCCCAACACAGTCTTCCCTTTGGTAAAGAGCTGAAATAAGCCACTGGCAGAAGAGGCCGTCTTCGATGAGC